AGATGTGATAATACAAGTGCAATAAATCTAACCAAAAATCCAATTTTGCACTCTAGGACAAAACATATAGAGATAAGACACCACTTTTTAAGAGATCATGTTCAGAAAAATGATTGTGTTGTAGAGTTTGTTGAAACTAGTAAACAATTAGCTGACATATTTACAAAACCTCTACCAAGAGAAAGATTCAATCAATTAAGAATTGAACTAGGAATAATCAATGAGTCTTGTTTGAATTGATTGTGAATGTGTACTTGGGATTGATTGTTTGATTGAAAATTGGTTGATGTATGTGTAAAACATTGATGTATGATGCATAAAAGAGAGAAGTTTAAGAGTTGAAAAAGATTAGGATCCTCTTTGTCTCATGACAGAACATAAGGAAGCCATTTGGAGTACCTATTCTGCCACAACTAAGCCAGATACTTCTATCTTAAATAGGCTTATAGATGCTGGAGTGACACCAAGAGTTGAGGAATCAATGTCTGTTGTGAACAATGAGATATTGAGGAGACATTTCTTGGAGCTCACTACAAACTTTTTGGCTCCTTTTAGCCCATATTTTAGGACTTCAACACCATCAGAAGGATCTTCTCCTTATGTAGACCCTCCTCCTCTACCTCCATTCAATGCCGATGAATTTCTAGCAAGTTTATCAGCAAGAGGTCCCGGGAAGTTTATATTAAAGCGAATGAGATCTAACTGGCTTGACTTATACAGGTAATAATTTTGCATGCTCTATTAACCGGCTTGATTTATACATTTGCTTCCAACTTCTCTGTAATATAGTATTTTATATTATGCCCTTGCACTTAATTTGCAGTTCTTATTAGATTTATAATCTTCACTTAATTTGCTCGAATGCCCTCATCAGGCAATTCCTGAAGGGACCCAACTTTATGCCGTGGTTTCAGAGAAAGCGTGCTGTTGCTGAACAAGAACAAGATAGATTATGGAGACAAGCAAGAATGAAAACTGACATACAGCAGCTTATTTCTAGACTGTCTGAATTGGAAATTGTGGATTCCTTCAATGTTATAGAAAGACTTCTCCTCAGAGAAATACAGGTGATCTACTTTCCTAGGATCCTTAAATAACTTGTTGGTTGACGAAGCCTTTATCTTTTCCCAGAATGAATAAAAAATGCTTTATCCATATATTTTATTTGTTATTGTTTTTTCAATATTCTTAATGATATGCATCCATGATGTGATGATGTTTTCATTATTAAATTTAGCAAAGGAATTAATATCTATCGTAATACACATCCAGGATATTGCTGTACTGGGATTTTATTATTAATATTTACTATTTATTTATGTGATAACAGTAATGTTTTATTCAACTCGATAAATGTTTCACAAAGTCATCAAATATTGATCTACCAGTAGGAGCTGAGAATTTTTTTCATCCATATTTGTTTGTGTGGATGTGCAGGCTTCATAGAATTCCAAGGACATGTTTGAGTTGGTGTCTGTTCATAATCTAGGGACATTAGAATAACTGAATTGTGAATTTTCCTAGAACAAGCTTGTATATAGACTAAGGATTTTAATATCCCTCATTTCTTTCTTGTTATGGCTGTGAGGAGTTAGGTTCAAAATTCTACAGTAAAGTTGTAATGTTTTCCTTTCTATTATGGAGGTGTCTACTATGATTCTGTTCTGTATAGGGTGGAACTAAAACTTATTGTGAAGGGGACCAGACCAAACATATAGCCAATGTTGTGAAACTGAATAGTTTATGCAGACTCAATATCCGTCTATAAACTTGACTTTTAAACTCAAATTTTTATGTAACTCCCTTGGCCCCAACCTTGTGTGTTCGCAAGTTGCCCTTCCCCCTGCATATCGTCCTCCTTCCTTTGTGGTCACAGTTTGCAGGTTATGCAGAAACCAACTCAAGGCTGTTCTCGTCAGAGATTGTCAGAGGAATGGGTTGCAAACAGGCTACAGTATCATGATCTGTTTTCTTGAGTGTGTTTTATCTGGTGTGGTCACAAAAGTTAAAAGAAGAAACTAAGTTGAATGAAGTTGATTTTGGAATTTTGGGGGAAAATTTTGAGACGTTCAATCTCGTTAACTCACTCCTAGTCTTATCAGTCTCTCCAAGTTTGCCCAAGTATATTCAAGCTTGACAGAGTCAGAATTTGCGAGTTAGTACATAAACCCTACTTAGAAACATAAACTCGGACAAATCAACTCGCGAGTTTGACAATAATGCATATAGCTTTAAGAGATTTTTCATCTCTCTTTTTCTTTTAATTTTGAATTTTTTTTCTTTTATTTTGTATGGGTAAATCTTGTATGATAACATTTTCATGAAACTTCCCATTAACTAAAGGAATTATGCGAGGATCATCAACACTGCCTCTGGTTCTGAGTATCATGAACCAAAAACACAAATGATCATATATTTAGTGAAATGTGTGGAAACCAAAAAGTTATACAAGATTTCATTTATTATTGAGGCATATTTTTGAATTGATGTAACTTATAATAAGCTATTATTATTCTAGTACTTTGCTGTAAGATAGATGTCCTTTTAAGAGAAAATACCCTTGAATTTACCTGTTGACTTTATATTTGTTCCCCCGGATTGTTCCTTCTGCTGAGAATAACTGTAACACTATGGTATCAGTGAATCCATTGTAGTGAGGAAATGATTTGTCCCATTCCATTGGTCTTTTTGGAGCTTAAAAAGGTTATTTCTCAGCTCCAATGTGAATGTATTCCCTAGAAAAAAAAATGCACCTTGTAAGTTGCATTTCTCTTTCTGCCTTTGATGCTGGCAATTACTTTCCCAGTGTTTATGGGGCAAAAAATATTGTGTGGTCTGTGCCTATTAATATATCTTGATTTGGGATATTAAGAATAAAAACTAACAAAGAATTCCTTTCTGACTGGACTTCTGATGATCTGATCCATTTAAAAGTGCGAACAAGTGCATTGATGTTGTCTTGTTTTATAAGTATATATTGTGCTCAGAGACCAAGTCTTACTACTTAATATATAAGAATCAATAACTGCTTTTATACTGTCACATTGTTCATATCTTACGGTTCTAAAACCTTCACTGCCAGTGTGAGGTGAAACTTAAACTTTGCTTAGTACTTTCTCTGAAACACTAGCCAGTATTGTGAGTATAACCAATTTAGCATGATTAGAGGTAGGGACATAAATGAGTCAAGCCTAGATGAATGCTAGTATTCTCAAACTTGTTCAGTTAAAATAATCCAAAGAGTTGTGTTCAATCAGGCTAAAATTTTGTGCTGAATCTTGCATGTCCCCTAGCAGTTCTTGATCAGTATTCTGTAAATGATGTATTGTATGCTTACACTGTTTCACATGCATAAACTAATTAAACTTTTAAACATGTATTCAGGCTCGTAGATGATGGGCATAAACTTAGTGAAGTCTGAAAGATAAACAATTTATTGGTTGGTAATGTGCTAGGATAGAAGCACAAAATTCCGTTCCCTTGGAAAAGTTTTGGTTCACTTAACCTGATAGTACAGGCAGTTATAAGTCTTTACTCAATTAGGATATGTATAGGCTAGTTAATATCTCAAGGTTTTCTGGTTTTCTAATATAAGAATTAGCAGCAATATGTGATTAGAATGGGAAGTAGCTTTGAGAGTCGAAGACCTTGGAGCTGGCTAAGAATAGTGTGATTAAAAAAACATTCTGCATATTGACAGATTGTACACATTTCATGAGGCAATGGCAAAAGAGGAGATCAAATGTGAGACCCAAACTGGTTAAAATGTTTTAAGAATGAAAGATTTTCTGAAAATGCTTTGAAGTTGTCAAATGTTTTGCTGTATACTTTTTCTTCTGGACATATTTTTCTAGGTGATTGCATGTTGTGTGATTCATGCTATTTTTCAATAAGAGATTGTATGTTTCATACCATGAAGCTTAGGGTGAATTGGGATGAAATTTTGTGCCATATTTAAAGCTTTCCACATGTATTCAGCTTGCAAGCATATCTTTACTTTTGAAAAGGACAATAGATGTATAGTGTCCCTTTTGTATTGTATTATGTACAAAGCAGAACTTTAGTATTTGTTGCATAATGTGTTGCAGAACATTATACCCCTAATCGCAGAATTATTTATGCTGCAAAATTCATATTCCCTTTTGTTTAACTTGAGGCGATTTATCAGCTGCAGCAATCTGGAAAGGGTACTGTTGCTTCCATGGCTACCTCTCAGAAACTAAGGGCAGACCTTCAGGCTGTTTTCCATGTGCTTTCAAAGGACATGCAACAACTTATGCTTTCAAATCCTGAAAGGGCATCCCTTCTTCAAGGAAGTTCAGAGTTGACAAAACTTCCGGGTCGACCACTTATACAAGTTGCAGTTGTTTCCCCAACGTCTCCTCGGTAATGGGGAAAACTCGTACAAGTTGCAGTTGTCTCCTACACTTTGATAACGGGGAAAACATGAAACCGGTGGTGTTGGTATATAGGATCTTCTTGTGCTTCTGAAGGACAAATTAATTCATTGACTACTTCAATCTGATTGAGAGGAGTTCTCTGATTCTTGACAAGTCATGTAGGGTAAGACTCTTTCATGTATTTTCTTTTTTAATCCGTGCAAATTACAATGACAACAACAAAATTCAAACCTAAGATCATGTGCATAGTAACTTAACCCTTCATCACTAGACCAACCTTGATGGTTCAGTCTCTTTCGTATATATTTACACTTAAAGCTGCTCAAGTCACTTGTTTGCTGATTTTCATCTTCAAATAAACAGTTGTGCAGTAACTGCTGCCATTTATATTGATCAATACACTTAAAGCAGCCGGTGTGGTGTATGATCCTCTCATGGAAAACGTGGATGGAAAGTCCTTTTGGTGTTAAATTATGAGGTTTTGTTGATTGCCTTTTTTGGCAGAAATTGAGGCTTCGTGTTGTTCCTGTTCTGGAAAGATCAAGCTGTAAATTACTGTGTTAGATTTCGGTAGCTGTCTCTTCAATGTTTTTTACAATTCCAAAATTTTCAAATCATATAACGCTTGTTTGATGCCCGGTTCATTTACTTTATAGTTTATCTACACTCATTAATATTTTGCGGGAGAAATGCCATTGCTAGCATATGTTGGTTGGTATTTTCGGAACTCACTAATACAAAAATGAAAAGAATGCGATAGTGAATTACTAGCACTGAACAATGGATTTAGGAATTAGAGCTGCCAATAAGAGCAAAGCTCGTGAGAGAGCACCCACTACCCAATCCGTTATGCTAGCTTTATTAATCAACAATTTACTTGAGGCATGTTTAAGATAAAAATAAAAAATAAAAAATTTAACAAGTACTTAAGAAGAAAAAATAGGAAAGAAGAATGAAATAAACTTTTTAAAAGGTTAAAAATAATTTGTATAGATTACATTGGTATTTATTTTGCTGTAAAAGTTGCTTGGAAAAAACACATAGGTGGGTTAAGACGAGAGTGTTTATATATTATATTGGTAAGTTAAGTAATATGACATTTTATATATATATATATATATATATATATATATATATATAAACAATTATAATTATCTTTTTTTTAATGTTATTTATAAATAGATATCACTTTTATTATGCAACATTTCGGTCAATTGTCTATATGTCTTTGCAAACGTAAGGATTAGAATTAGTTTTCTACTATTGTGCCAAATAATGCTTCAATCTTTACAAGAGAATGAATAATTTTGATAGATTATCGCATTGAGTGATCCAAAGAAAAGAAAGAGGTAATAAGATAATTCATTACAAGTGGACTAAGTTTTAGTTTAATCAAAAGCTCCAAAACAAAGGTACCCATGCGTCCTAAATAATATTCCTTCATTGTTATTGGAAAATGATTCCAGATTTCGGAAAGTGGTAATATCTCAAATTCCCAATGAAAAACAAAATTCATAGCCTATTGAGTAGGCTAAATTGCTAAATATGTTGACCGATGAATGTTGATTCAAGATGAAAAACTCAAGCATTTATCTTTTTTTAAATAAATAAAAGAGAGAGAGAGAATTAAAATATGTATCTGGTCCGTGATTTCTTTCCATTTTCTTTTTAAATCAAGTTGTACATTAAAGAAGATTTTAACCTCATTCATATGTGAATTCTTTATACAGATTATACAAAAAGAAAAAGTAACACCTAGCCATGTGAGCATGGCATTTGCTTCGAAGATAGTGTTTATTTATCTCTAGGAAATGCTCCTTTGGAACACTAAATGGATTTGACACCCTTTTCATTAAAAGCTATGCTTTATAAAAGGATAAACAAGGGTGTACACGTTAACATAGGCTGGAAAATGAAGTTGGTGATTTCAACTTGTCCCCTCACCCCTTTACTTCTATTATGGTCAATAAGTAGTGATGCTGGATAGTGAATCACGATCCTTTTGCAGTGTTTTTTTAACTGCAAATCAACCATTAAAATTAAATTTTTCTCATAAGAAATATAAATTAAAATAAAATGAATGGTGCAAGATTGAACAGCACCTCCTACAGTTTAGTAATTATATATATA